ACCCTGTCGTAGCTCAGTCGATTAAGGCAGTGTCTGGGATGCTCCCGGACGCAGGTTCGAATCCTCGTCATGGCCCCTTGTGGATTTGTTCATTTGATACATCGCGTTAGTGTGATCTCTGTGCGTAACACACACAAGGAAATGAGCGCAAGAACACAAGCACGGAAACAAACACAGGAATACACTAACATAAGAACACACACAAACAAGAACAGAAACACAAGGACACAAAAACAGGAGACACACAAACAGCAACACAAAAAACAAGGACACAAACACACAAACAAACACAAACAATATTACGACTGCTGTTCTTTCATCCACAAAGCGAAGACCTCATTTAATACCCGCAAATTATACATTTGCATGTTTTAGTATGTAAATCAATTTAAAATGGTCTGTAAACGTTATTTTTTAAAACGTTTAGCCAAACGTTTAATCAAATTATTACTGATGCCCTGCAATAGTAAATTAATAGGCATGTGGTTTGTAAATGCAGTTATGTGTAAGTTTAAATTGTAAACAATATATATATATATATATATATATATATATATATATATATATATATATATATATATATATATATATATATATATATGCTAACCTGAATTGAAAATTGTGTTAAGAATAAGGCTAGAAAAATATTTTATTATGGTAAGAATATTAACTTATAATGGGAATAAGAAGTATTAAGAATAATATGAGGAGGGATATTTCCCTGACGAACGTTGCCTACGGAATATGAATGGTTAGGTCAGTAGTAGTTATTATGTAGTCATTAGTGAACGTTGAGCTGTCTTGCTGGAGAGATGATGTTCGTAGTGTGTGTGTGTGTGTGTGTGTGTGTGTGTGTGTGTGTGTGTGTGTGTGTGTGTGTGTGTGTGTGTGAGCCTCACTCTTTAACACTGTTAAATGTTTAACATTGTTTTCTGTTTAACATTTTTCACTATTTAACATTGCTTACTGTTTAACTCTTCTTCTTATCTAACATTGCACCAGTGTTGGCTACAGCTGCAACAATAGAGTGGTTATCTTGAGATGATTTCGGGGCTTAGCATACTCGCGGCCCGGTCCTCGACCAGGCCTCCTTTTTGTTACCCCCCCCCCCCCAGAAAGCAGCCCGTAGCAGCTGTCTAACTCCCACGTACCTATTTACTGCTGGGTGGCATCATAGGAACAAACGCATCAGAGTGAAAGAAACCTTTTTGCCCATTTGTCTCCGCCTCCACCGGGGGGGATCGAACCCGGAACCTCAAGACTACGAATCCGAAGCGCTGTCCACTCAGCTGTCAGGCGCCCCAATGTGCAAGTAAGCAGGTGAGTACTGTACTTGCCAGCAGCACCTAGGGAACACTCCACCACTCGGAGCATTCGTGATGGAATTAGGAGGCACGAAGCAGGGAGGGGGGGGGGGAGGTGATTACATATAGGGTGTAGTTATCACCCTATCTACCCTCCCCCCCCCTCCTCGCGTGACGACTCGGGTGTTGGGGGGGGGGGTAATGGGGGAGGGTTATTATCACGCGACGTGCGGCTGTAGTTCCATTTGTTGCTGGTAATTACTTTGAGATGACCTACTCCCCCCCCACCCTCCTCTTCCCCCATCTATCCTGCCCCATCCCATTCCCGTCCCTCATCACCCCCTCAAGTGATCCTATATCATATTACCCTCTCACGTGACTCCCCCTACCCCCCTCAACCCCATCCCCACCACCACTATTATATAACTCCCTCGACCCCCCTCACTAACCCACACGACCCCCACCATTATATTACTCTGCCCCACTACCCCCCCCCCATCAACACAAGCACCACCACCGCTAATAGCAGTGGCAGTAATATTTATACATAGCATACATTTAGTAAATAAATAATTCCTCTCCCCCTTGAGCAGAATTTGTATACTTTAGTATTGTATTCATAATAAGTAACATCGGACCTGGTCGGCTGTGTTCAGATTTTATTTAACAGCTTACGGGAACCCGAGTATTTTGAGGTTGTGGCCATTAATAAGCTTTGGGTGGTGGAGCTGCGAAGATCGTAAACTGGTAACTAATGTAAGCCAAGCCGACATGATGGCTCAAAGACGTAACCGGTTTGGTCCAGGTAGTGATGTGTAAACAAATGGTTTTGGTGAGTCCTGGTCCGGGACATTGAGCGGAGGCCGAGGGAGCAACCGGTTGGAAATTATATTATGATTTAAGGTGAAAGCGTGGGTATTGAGTTGGAGTACTTGTGGCTCAGTGGTAGTGTTTCCGTTCACCACGGCGGCTCCTCCGATGTCCTGCACACACACTTGCCAGGGCACACACCTGCCAGGGCACACACCTGCCAGGGCACACACCTGCCAGGGCACACACCTGCCAGAGTCTCTTCACCCAACACCTATTTAGCCAAGAACCTAGTGTGAGGGAGGGAGGGAGTAGAAGGTGATGAAGTGAAGGGGAGAAGTGAAAGGAATGAGGGAGAATTGGAGATATGAGAAATGATAAGAGAG